AGTTGTCAGATGTCCCATCTGGTTTAGCAGGGGTCCAATGTTGTCCTTGCTTTTCCTCTGGCTCCCCACATATCTGAAAAAGGACTTTTTATTGTCCTTGATACTCAAAGCTAGTTGGAGTGTAGCTGCAGCCTTGGCTTTCCTGGTTTGCTCCCTGCAGGACCGGACCAGTGCAGAATATTCCTCCTTGGAGGTGAATCCTGCCCTCCATCCTTTGTAAGCCTTTCTTTTTAGTCTCAGAAGGTCTGCTAGATGCCTGGAGAGCCAGCGGGGCTTCTGTGCCTTCTTGCTGCCTTTTCTCCAAGATGGAATAGAATTAGCTTGTGCACTAAGGATCACTCCATTGAGGAGCACCCAGTCTTCCTGAGCTCCCCTCCCCTTGGGGTCGTGGTCCCTTAGGGCCTCACTGACAAGCTTCCTGAGCTTGTCAAAGTCAGCTTTCCTGAAGTCAAGGACTTCAGTGTTGCTGACTGACTTGCCAGCTTTATGGCATTATGTTATATTATTATATTAAATTATATGATAACATAATAACTTAATATAACATTATGTGAGGAAGAAACATGATCATGTATCATGCCTAAGATGAAACACAGAGTGGTCATTGTGGAAGTCTCTCTCCTGAGGGGGACAGAGGGAGCGATTGATCACCCCAACCTCTTAGTTTGCTGGCCCCCAGGAGCCCAGATTTGGGATGTGGCTGAGAGGATCCCAAAACTTATCTGGCCCTCTGACTACTGCCCCATGCTCCGTATCCATGTGGGCACAAATGACATGGCTTGGAGCAATCCCAGCTGGGTCATGAATGGCTACAGGGCTCTGGGAGTGGGGTCAGGGGGTTGGGAGCACACGCGGTTTTTTTCCTCAATCCTTCTGGTTACAGGTCATGGGCTGAGGAGGGAGAGATGAATTGAGGCACTAAAACAGAAGACTGCAGCTCTGGTGCCATCATGAAGACTCCGGCTTCTATGACCACAGCCTGTTGTTTGGAAAGAGAGGCAGTGGTTTGTTTGGAACAGAACCTCTACCTCCACCTCACTCCACTGGGGAAGAAGCTCTTTTCAGCCAGAATGGCTGACCTGCTTGACTGGGCTTTAAACTAAGCTCGCTAGGGGATGGGTGGACAACCACCAGAGCAAGCTCACTGAGCATCAACCGCAGCAGGTTAGGATGCTCAAGGGAACTTACCCCTACCCCAGAAGAGGAACAGAGCTTCTCCATGAGTACAAGGAAGCCTAGAGCCTCCAGCAGCATACTTGCCTATACACTAATGCTAAGAGTTTGGAGAATAAACAGGAGGAACTGGTCCTTCCTGCTAAACAAAAATTACTACAATCTCATAGGGATAACAGAGACCTGGTAGGACTCCTCTTATGACTGCACTATGGGTATAAATGGCTATACCTTGTACAGGAGAAATCATGTTGAAAAAAGATGGGGGAGGGGGCGTAGCTCTCTATGTGAAGCTATACGTCCCTACAAGCTGAGACTGGCACCCAAGGAGGACTATTGGAGACCCTTTGAGTTAGAATACGAGGGAAACATAGCGAGTCTATTACAGACCTCCAAATCAGGAACAAGAGCCTGACCAAGAATTTGCCAGGGAACTGGCCGAGGCCGCACACTCTTGGTGGATGGTCGTCATGGGAGATTTGAACTACCTGGACTTCTCATGGGATGAGCACTGGGCCAAATCCAATGGGTCTCAAAGCTTCCTTTGAGGATGTGAGGATGAACTCTCCTGTCCCTAGAAGTTTATGAGCCGACAAGAGGCAAAGTGCTGCTGGAGCTGGTACTGGCCAAAGGGGATGATCTAATCAGTGACCTGGGTGACAGTGACGACGAGTTTATCACTTTCACTATCCATCGCAAAGCTGGCAAGTCACCCAGCAATACAGTAGTCCTCGAGTTTAGGAAAGCTGACTTTCATAAGTTCAGGAGGCTTGTTCTTGAGACCCTGAGAGGCCATGATTTCACAGGGAAGGGAGTTCATGATGAGTGGTTGCTCTTTAAGGAAGCAATCCTAGAAGCACAAGGCGAGTTCATCCCCATCCACAGGAAAGTTGGTAAAAGGGCTCAACAATCCCCTTGGCTCAACAGAGAACTCACGGACCTCCTATCTCTAAAAAGAGAGGCTTATAAAGGATGGAAGACAGGAAACACCACTAAGGAGGAGTATTCTGCACTGGTCTGCACCTGCAGGGAGTGAACTAGGAAAGCCAAGACTGCAACTGAACTCCAACTGGCCACACGAATCAAGACCATTAAAATGTCCTTCTTTAGATATGTGGGGAATTGAAAAAAAAACAAAACAAAGGCAACACTGGACCCCTGCTAAACTAGCTGGAGCACTTGACTACTGACATCAAGGAAAAAAGGCAATCTGCTTAATGATTACTTTGTGTTGTTTTTTCACAAGCCAAAAGGGACCACCCTGCCTACCACAATGCAGAACAACCAGTGTGAGGGTGAATATATGCCCACTGCTGGTGTGGATCTTGTGAGGGAGCATCTTGAGAGGCTGGACTACCACAAATCAGCTGGTTCGCACAGATTGCACCCACGAGTGCTAAAGGAACTGGCAGACATGATAGCATGGCCACTGGCAAGGATATTCGAGAACTCGTGGCACTCAGGTGGAATACCTGAAGTTTGGAAGAGGGCCAATGTGGTATCCATTTTCAAGAAAGGGAGGAAATAAGACCCGGGAAACTACATGCCAATCAGTTTGACCTCAATTCCTGGGAAGATTTTGGAAAAAGTTATCCAAGAAACCATTCTTGACGGGCTAATAGAAGGCACCATTCTGAGGGATAGCCAGCATGGGTTTGTTGTGGGTAGGTCTTTCCTGACCAACTTCATTTCCTTCTATGACCAGGTGATACATCACCTGGACAAAAGAGAAGAGGTTGTTGTCATATATTTGGACTTTAAAAAAGCCTTTGACCTGGTGTCCCATGATGTCCTCATGGAAAAATTGGGCAACTGTGGCCTCAAGTACTCCACAGTCCAATGGCTGGGGAACTGGCTCTGAGGTCAGACCCAGGGAGTGGTAGTTGATGGAAACAAATCAACGTGGCACTCAGTGACTAGTGGTGTCCCCCAAGGCTCCATTCTTGGACCTGTAACTCTTTACCTGTACTTGGACACTGGTGTTAGAAGCGGACTAGCTAAGTTTGCTGACAACACCAAACTTTGGGGAAGAGTGTCCACACTTGAGAATAGGCTGATGATCCAGGCTGACCTCGATAGGCTTGCAAGGTGGGTGGATGAAAACCTGATGCATTCAATACAGAGAAATCCAAGGTGCTCCACCTCAGGGAAAAAAGCCCTGCATCATACTTATAGGCTCTGCAGTGCTATACTCACTAGCACCATGACCAAAAAAGACTTAGGGGTCATGATTGACCACAAGATAAACATGAGCCACCAATGCGATACCACAGGTAGCAAAGTGAACAAAACTCTAGTTTGCATCTACCAATGCATCTCGAGTAAGACCCAGGATGTCATCCTCCCACTATACTCAGCTTTGGTGAGGCCACAGCTGGAGTACTGCATCCAATTCTGGGCTCCACGATTTAGGAAGGACGTGGAGAAACTTGAAAAAGTCCAGAGGAGAGACACATGCATGATCAGAGGGCGTGAGAACAGGCCTTATGAAGAGAGGCTGTGAGCTATGGGACTCTTCATCCTGGAGAAGAGCAGGCTCAGGGGTGACTTGGTGGCAGCCTATAAGTACATAAGGGGTGTGCATCAGGATCTAGGGGAATGCTTGTTCACCAGAGCACCCCAAGGGATGACAAGGTCCAATGGTGACAAACTCTTGCAAGACTGTTTTAGGCTGAACATAAGGAAAAGCTTCTTTAGTGTCCAAGCCCCCAAGGCCTGGAACAGATTCCCCCCAGAGGTGGTGCGAGCATCTACTCTGGACACTTTTAAGAATCATTTAGATGTTTGTCTTGCTGGGATCCCTTGACCCTAGCTGACTTCCTGCCCCTTGGGAAGGGGGCTGGACCCAATGATCTTATAAGGTTCCTTCCAGCCCTAATGTCTATGAAATTATGAAACATGACAGTCCATATAAGCCTGTATAAAACCATTTGCTTAAACATTCATTTGTCCTGCCTGATAAATAAGATAATTTTTTCTCTAACATTCTTGGGTTTCTAAGTTGTTTAGTAGTTGTGGAGTACACAGTATATGTGGTTTGTAATGCTGATGTCAACTTCATTACTGACCACTTATTTAACCGCTCTTCTCTACAGTTAAGAGGAGACCCAATGAAATATATAAAATTCAAATTCTAATTACAAAACAATTAAAATAGGATACCGCTGTATTACAGTTTCACATTTAGTGCATTCATAAAATTTAACAGTGAATTTACTATGGCAGTTATCAACATACAAACATAAATCATGTGATCTCCCACAAGTTGAAACAATTTGTACCTCTGAAGTATCTGAAACAACAGATGCATCAGCCTTAATCTTCTGTGCAATTCTGTTATCATCTTCATCAGCAACAGAACCCTAGGTTATTAGCATAAAATAAGGAAAAGATTAAATTTACTACATAAATCCAGGGGTCAGCAAGCTATGGCCTCTAGCTCAGATCCAGCCTGCATATTATGTCTTCAGCAGTGTTCAGCAGCAGGGGCTTCTCTATGGTGGAGAGAAGTGCAGGGGACAGCCTTTTCTCCACACTGCAGTGGGGAGAAGTGGTAGCTGTGGGAGCTTTCTCTGTGCTGTGGTTGGGATAACCGATAGCAGTAGGAACTATCTCTGTGCTTCAGCAGGGAAAAGCATCGGTGATAGCAAAGGCACAGGCAGAGGAGTCCTAGCGTCCGTCCACCTCTGACTGAACATCGTTGTTGACTGGTGATATACACATGACACCTAAAACCAAAAACTTTCAACCCAAACCTGAGTGAGTCTCATTTTTTGCAGCTGCAGGTACTTTCTTCATCAGAGCAGTTACAATGGGTGCATCTACATGTGCTATTAGCATGGAACAATAAATTTCAGTGCGTATTACGCTTGGACTTGGTGCTTCCGGGCAGACGTGGAAACTGCAGCATGTTGAGCCATGTTAGAGCAGCCCTGGCAGGGGGGTCAGTCTACCAGCCTGGGGCTACTCCAACCCAGCTCAACATGCTGTCAAAGGGTTAGCTGGGGCACAAGGGTGGGGCTAGCTGGGAAGCAGCCCTTGCACTGCAGCACACTTGTGCCCCAGCAAGCATTGCTTCACACTAAAGAACCCCAATGTAGGATAGTACTTCTATTTACAAATACTAACCAGCGGCAGAGTTAATTAGTTTCCTGTGGTCTAATAGGGCCACATGTGTAGATGTTGAGACCTTACTGTGTAGCTAATTAGGCAGCTCTGCAGCAAACATGATCTAACCAGACAGAATAAATTCTTTGTTCAGGTTCTTTGTTTCCTAACTATTTTAAATTTCTAGAGCTCTTGCACTAGGCACCATATTGCAACATCTGAGTTGGAAACTGGATAGTAGAATATTAAGATTCCCACAAAAAGCAGTTTTCATTTCATTATTCAATAAAAGCACTTTACTATTTTGCCTGAAATTTGGGTTATGTGAACAGGAAATCTAGAATATTCAAGGAAGCCTACATAGTTGAACAATGAAAACCCACTGAAATGTGCTTTTGCTTTTTGAACATCCGAATCTTGTGCACCAGAGTAGAGCCGTAAATCAGGTACCTAAACATTCAAGTGACAGGAAATGCATCCCTACGTAGTAGTGGGGAGAAGAAAAGGAAGGAGAGGAGGCACTTGGGAATAAGAGGGGTCCAAAAACATTTCTATGAAGATTTAACCTAATTAAAGTTGTATATTAATATATAAATACATTCCTTCCACTATAATTTTTCAGAATTACATTTTTCAAAAAGTTTAATTTCACTAATCAGCTGTGCCCTTTTCTAAGGAGAACTAACAACAGATTGACTTAGTTTGTGATTATGATTTCTGGTATGTTTCACTATCCAAAACAGCAACTTTAATAAAGGTAAATTAGATAACAGTAGGAAGAAATGTGAACTGAAAACACATATTATGTTTTTAATGACTAAGGTTATCAATGTATTCATGAACATAAACCCTAACCCTTAACCTCCCTATAATTAATAAACCATAATAATATCTAATAAGTAATACTTAGCGCACATCCTAGAACATTTTACAATATGGTGGTAAAGAAACTATTTTAATTAACTGGATTCAGTTAATTAAAATAACTATAGTGCAAGGTTACCATGCAAACAGTAGCAATGCAACCTATTTCTCTGGAGTACAATGCCGATCCCTTTGGTCAGCCTCCCAAACCTACAATAATGCAGTTTGTGTAGTAAAAAAAGCAAGTTAATTAGTACTGTACAATGCATAGTTCCAGCTGAGGAGGTAGCCTGTGAGAACACTTCCAATTTGGGAGACAGCCTGTGTGGAGCAATCTATATACATGGAAAACATTTAAAACTTACTGGAATCTGTAATGTATTGGCATCCATGAAAGATACTTTCTTGCCAGCTTGAGCTGTGCGCTGCCTTGGTTTAGGCTTTGGTGTCTAGGATAAAAAAGCATATTTAAAATATAGCAAAATGTGTTCTTTAATTGCTTGACTTAACAAGAGCAAAAGTATTTTTGTGGATGATATCTTTTATGGGACTAAATGCATGGTTGGGGTACATTTAGACAAACTTTTGGCAGAGACCAGATGAAGATAGTGAGATACCCAAAAACTTGTCTAAATCTACCTCAACTGTGCAGCCAATCCAAATAAAAAAAACCCAACCACACCACCCATAAAAGCTTTTGTGTTTATAACAACTTTCAAGGTGTACTAATATTTTTGGGGGTAAGTCTGACTATAAATACCTGTCATTTATAATTTGTTATAGTAAAAAGTTTCAGACTTTGTGAATCCTTTGTAAAGGTATGGATTATATTTGAAGTGATAACAATTTAACGACAGAAAGACACTCATAGTTTCATCCTGAAAGTTGATGGAATACCCACGGAGGTTAGTAGAGGCTGCAAGTACAGAACAGAATGGTTGTAGGACTGAATCCCTGAGCAGCAAAGATGTAGCAGAATGTTTTACACCTCAAAATTCTACTTCATTTGTTTATTTTGCAGACCTGGGGTGTCAAACGTACAGTCTGTGGGCCATCTCATCTGGTCCAAAGGAGTCCTAGAAGGGCAAGGAAGACATGGGGAATGTTCCCAAAAAGTACGGAGCCTGTGTGGGATACATCTAAGCACTGAGAGACAAGAGGCAGATGTGTTAATCCCCACAGTTCCCTGCCACTGCTTGTCTTGCTGTTGCTGCCATTTCCAGATTCAGATCACAAGAAGTCCTGTGGTCTAGATCCAGCCTGGGGGACTAGATGGAGTTTGACACACTTGCTGTAAACTAATTCTATTTGCACCAGCTCTTTTTCCTGAATTTTGAAGTAAGAGCAGTAACAGAGGAAGCTAGCAATACTTGCAAAATTAACAAGAAAATTCTAAATGAAGAATTGTCTGTAAAAGCTTTAATGCAATAAGGAGAGAGTATGTAAAGAAGGCAGCTTATTCCCCGTTGTGTTTTTCCCTGTGTACTGAGGTGGTTTATGCTAATGAGAATTAAACAAGAATGGGCAACTTTTTCCTTCTTGTAGTCTTTTTTAAAAATGGTGCTCTTATTTTAAATATTACTGCTTTACTAACTTCCAGTCTTCTAATAATGAAAGCAACACACACACTGCTGCTTTGAAGATCTTTCAAATACTCAGAAACATTTTCTTTAGATTTAAGTTATACAAATATGCAACTGTAACTGGACCAGTGCTCCAGGCGTGAGCATGACGCCCCCTGGTGGCCATGTGGCTCCCATGCCACTGTGGCTCTTGGTTATCCCAGCATTTTTCCCTCCTGCTATGCCTTGATGTTCTTCATTATCTTTGGAAAGTGAACCCTGCCCTGTTCTTCTGTAAGTGGATCTCTCTCGGGCCCTAGTGGTCCCCAACCAGCCTTCACGCTGGGTAGGCCCTCCTGTCCTGTATGTGCCCCAATGCACCTGATGCCTTATGAGCTAATCACAGCCTCTGAACCTCTCCTATAGTCATGCCCATGCCTTGCAGGTGTTTCCAGTCATCACTTAGGTGGGCACTTCGCCCCATCTACCAGGCCACTTCAGACCTCCACTCCCTTGCTAGTACTGGCCTCTGCCCCTCTGCTCTGGCTAGTCCCTTTAGCCTAGTCCCACAGTACCAGGTCTGGCTTCTTGGGCCCCAGCCCTTGTCTTGCTCTTTAAGGCTCTTAGCTTTGTCCCTCCTGGGCTGTGGGCCATTGGTCCTTATCTCTGCCCCTGTCTCTGACCTTCATGGCCTGCAAGTCCCCAACCCTTGCTTTGCCTCACAGGCATCACTGCCCCTCTTGAGCTATAGGCCCCTGGCCCTAATCTCAGCCCTGCTTTGGGCTGTGGGCTCTCTAGTCCTGTTTCTGTCCCTATGGGCTATGGGCCCATGGCCCTGGTTCTTGCCCCTCTAGGGCAATGTTGGGCTCCCATGTCCCTATCTCTGCCCCGCTAGGGCTCTGGGCCCTCTAATCTAGTCAGTGCCTTGAGCCTGACCCCTGGTGAGGCTCAAGGCAGTCACATGTCCCTCTGGCACTAATGCGACCTTCAAACCACCCATACAATCCCAAACCCCAACCACTGGTACAAATTCAAACAAAACACATAAGCCCTCAGGTTCCAACAAAACTCCAAGCCCAAATGACTGTCTAGTTTCTCCTTGCCCTGTGTCCTATCATCCCTTACATCAAGCAGTCAGTTCTACTGGTATTCTCAGGGCATTCCAGGAGTTAGCAGAGGCTCCCACTGCAACTTTTCAGGGCAGGAGCTCTTTACTTGGTAACTAGCAGGGTCAGACTGATAGCCTGGGTTCAGGCACTGGCTTAGAGAGTCTCCTAAGCACTGTACCCTCTGGTTACATGACTCTGTGGGCACTCACAGGAGTCCCCCTCTGTGCCTGATGACCTTCTGTTCTCCCTGCTAGGACTTAGGTCCTCTGTCTGCAGCAAATTGTTTCTGGGCTGACTCCCTAACTGCCCTTAATGATTTTTTCTGCTCTGCCTCCCTCCCCAGTTTGAATCATCTTTCCTTAGTTAGCTTCTACCTGTGCCTCACAATCTGGTCTGTTTCCTGGCAGCCATTTCATTAGCAGTTAGCTTGTTTCCTAGCTGCCTGTTCTCCTGGATTTTGCCTAGCCTGCTATTCTTTCCTCTTAAAGTAACAAGAGCCTTCTAGCTTCCTGTTATAGCAACCTATTTCTTTTGGAACAAGGTAGCCAAATTCAGAAAGGAATTCATCACAATCAGTGCTTGCCATTACTTATAATATCTTCTCTTTGGTGTGGAGTTAAAGCTGTTTAATTTTCAGCTTGATTATTTATTAGCTGATAGGCAATATTCCAAATCTACAGTCTGATGACTACATGGTAAACTATTCTGGAAATTTTTTTATTTCTTTTGGGGGGGGTGGTGGAGGGGTTCTCATCTGATTGAGGATTTGAATTTAACTTAAAAAAATATTTTGGAAGTCCTACAAAATGGTTCTATGAAAAAGATTTATTTTTTTATTTTTGTGTTCTAAGCTATTGTGTACATATGTAGGAGACTTCAAAAATGGCAACAGGGAAGTCTCCCAAAGGAGATCCAAGATTGTAGTTGCATAAAGTATATGAACTAAGCACTATGAAATGTATTGTATAGATTAATCCTACTTAGAGCTGGATTGAACGATCTACTATAAAATATCTCTTAAATCTCTTAAGTATTGTGAACTTGCTAAATTACTTACTGCTGCTGATCTATTAAAAGAAGTGATCAGGGCTGGAGTCTGAACTTCCTCCATCACTGGTGATTTAGTCTCCATTGATTTCTCATTTTGGATGTAATTTGCTAGGTCTGCAGGGATTGCTGTTCCACTTGGTGGTAGATAGGCAAATCTCCATTTTAGTTCAACATCAATGGTACCTGTTGAGTGCTTTTCACAATTTATTAATTCAAATGTACCTGAAAGTAAAAAGCCAAAAAGATCTAACTACTTAATTTCTCATGCAAAGTGAAACAGCATGGAATGCAAGAATCAAAGAGGAATTATATTCATTTTCTAAAACTCCCTTAAGAATGTCATTATCCAATACACAACACAGAATATTAATTCAAAGCAGAGGGGTATCTCCTAAAGATTCAGCCAGAAATGGGGACTATTTTGAAGCAAAGGATTTTAAGACCACAATACAAAATGGCCTGTTAACATTTGAATAGATACCTTGTAGGCTTTCTAGGCCCTAATGGACCAGGCTGCTATCTCTCTGATATCACATTCTTTATCCTTTTTCAAAGTAGCTTTCTTTAGCTAAAATAATTTCTCTGCTCCTTAGCTAAGGTTGATATTTGTTCAGTTTTTGTTTTAAACAATTATACAATTATTTTTTAAATATATGCAAATTTCACTAATCCAGAAACCAACTTTGACAAAATAAAAACAGCTTCTAAGAGTTGTTATATTTTAATGAATGCAGTTGAGTAAGAATTTTAAAATAAGATTATCAAGTGGTTCTGAGAGTCTATTGCCAAATGGATACAAGAAAAATTATTTAAATGTGTATTAAAGTATTTAAATACACATTAGAAACATTTTCTTTTTATTCAAATTGCCACATTGCCACAGTTTGTCTATGCAATACTGTTAAATATGACTGCTACAAAATTTGTTCTTAGATTCTTAGTGTACACTTCTGCAAATGATTTTAATTGAGTTACCTTTAAGTGGTGAAATAAGCAACAGTCCTTATTGACTATATACACCCCCTGCAAATAGTCTTGTAAATTATAGACACATATAAAAGGGTGGCCCAGAGGATATGAGCTAGAATATGAGTTTTTCTGTGATGCAGCATCATTTAAAAACAGAACGACAGTAATGAAGCTTTGCACATTGTTTTAGATTTATTAGAAAAGTCAAAACTCATCATGGAGGGTTTTCCCAAATTATTTCTGCTATACATCCCATTTCTGCAATCATATGTATAAAAGTTGAAATGCTTGTTCAGCTGGATGCAACTGCAAAGCCATGGCCCATATGGACCTATGCCTTAGTACAGTGGTCACCAACCAGTGGATCTTGATCCACCAGTAGATCTCGAAGCCTCTTGGAGTTGATCTAAGGCTGGGGTGTGGGGGCTGAGTGCCCGTGGACATGCACGTGGGCACCCCAGCCCATGGGGGAGGGAAAGGGCAGCGGCTAGATCGAGGCCCCCGCAGTGAGGGACAGTACCGCAGAGGCAGGAGCAGGGGTAAGCTGAATGGGACCCTGGCTGGGTGGGACTTACCTGCTGGGGAGGCACGCCCCCAAATAATTTCTTCTCCCTCTGCCTTGATCTGCTCCTCCCCCCTTCCCTCCCCACAGACTTACTTGCTGGGTTGGGGGGAGGGGAGAGGATGGTGGCGGTGCAAAGCAGATCTTGGGTTGCTTTTAAATTCCAGAGATGATCTTCTACTTAAAAAGGTTGGAGACCACTGCCTTAGTACAACACCCTAATAGCAGTGCTAAATATTGTTCTAATTCCTTATATGAAGCTTATCACATATAGGACTTTTCCTCCTTTGAGATTCATATTTCTGTTCATTAATTCTGTTTTAAAATAAGTTTGTCAAAATAATTTAAAAACATTCATTTCAATGCATGTAGCATAGATTCAAATGCAGTTCCTAAATCTAATTTTTGATCCAGAATTGTCCAAGGGAGGTTAACACTAATGGTGCCTTCCTATCAGTGTCACAGAAATACAGTTTATTGACAACTTAGCTAAGTCTCAGTCTCAGCAAATCTGTCAAATATAAGGAGATTAGGAAAATATTAGCAAAATAAAGAAAATATAGATGTCATGTAAGCAATTAAATTCAGGCACTATTAATGAATGGCAACTTATGCTGATCAGACCTATGGCTTATTTATCAAATGATACTCATGTCACAAACAGAACTGTGAGCTGAATACAGGAAAAGAGAGTACATATGTTGTCATTAGTGTGAGTAGGCTTAGTTACAGCTTATCCTTGATTTTTGGGCCTTTTTTTAAACTTATAGGGAGGTTAAAAACATTATAATAACTCTTTTTCATTTAGGAAAGATTTATGTACAAATCTGAACCTTACATTCAGCCCGATAAACAGGCAGTTTCTGGCGGTAATGAAATGCAAAACCTCATAATAAGTTGTCAATAGAATTTACTCTGGTGTAAAACTAGAATACCACTAAAATGAGGCCAACCATTTTAAAAGAAATACATAATGGAAAAGCATGTAAACAGTTTGTTTTCTCTGCAGAAGATAAATTCTTACCTGAGATGCATCTGTCATGCGCTAATGAAATAAGAGGCACACTGGCTTTCCCTATATAAACACTTTCTTCCTTTTCATCATCATCAAACACATAAAAGGTCAAGGACTCTGATTTAAGGTATCGGTCTAAATCTGCATTCATTGGCACTGGGAAATGCATGTGATCGTCTAACTGTGGGTTGTTGCTGCTGCATATGATGGGAGTATCATGGTCTGCAAAGTCAAAGAACTTGTAGACAACGTAAGGACTTGGCTGAAGGTCGTTTTTTCGGGACTGTAGATTGTCACAACATTTTACTGTAATATGGAGTTCATTTAAATTGCCATCTGCTGAAGCGCTGACTTGGGCAGTTCTGAGTACTGGCTGCTTTAACTGAAAAAATACATGTTAAATTAAAACCATTAAAATTCTTATGCTGGGATAGCTTAAGAGATATATAAACAGAACAAACTGCTGTTTGCTTGAATGACACCCAAACTACTGTTTAACTAAATTCATGTGTCAAAACTTCATTTGTACAATAAATTCAGCTCAATGTTACTTTGAAGATGCAGAAGAGGGGATGAACCTCTTTGTATCTGCTGCTTGTTTGTTTGCTTCTTCTAAAACTTCATGATTCAGCATGTCAACAAAAAGCAATTCAATATAAAAACAAGAGTAATTCAATTTTAAGTATAGTTACACACATTAACTGGTAATGGAACAATGGTACTAGATCATCAATGGAATTCCGTTCATTACAAATGATTATCAGCACCTTGTATTACTGTATGCTGTGCAGATATGTGTCACAAACATTGCATTGCTAATGCAGAGTTGCATTATAGAGTTTCTTGGAGGCTGAAGGTCTAACATCTGGATGTGGCAGTTTGGTTTTGTGGGACAAAACATACCAGCTGGATACATTTGTTAAATTATCTTTGTGAAATAGTTTATAATAATTATGAAACCTAAATATGACAGTTCCAGATTTATCAGCTGATAGAATTGAGCAGTTCACACCTACCAGAGCTAATACTCAGATTATTCACAGACACGGGAAGACAATCTTTTTATAAAAGTGTGCAATTTGTTCATGTTTTCAGGACTGCTGTACTTTCAAAACTATAGGAGCTAGATTTTTTTTAAACAAGTAAAAGTGTAGATTCTGAACTAATGCTACAGCTAGTTCTGCAGCTGCAGACTATATGAAACTTCATATAATGTTGCTGATTCTTACAACATTATAGTTTCTGCCATGAAAGGCTTGTAAAAGCAGCAGTGATTCATTCACGTGTATGGACAGTTTCGCAGTTTTTTGTTTTTTTTTAATGCTCTTCCCATCCATGGGCAACTGGTGCCTCTTGAGTCAGGGAAGCCACGTGCCCCCTCCTGACACCTGTCAGCAACAGGGGTTAGGGGTCCCTCTGTGGCCGATTTCACTCACCAAAAAGCTGCCGCGCTGCTTCTGGAAGTCCCATGGCCACTTCTGGAAGCAGCACGGCTGCTTTTGCTGGCAGCCCCGCTCCCTGGCCGGTGCTCACAGGGGCAGAACTGACACTCCCGTCATCCCCCCGCCTGTCGCCTAAACAGGGAGTGTGGCCTGACAGGGGGTGCACCAGCGCTCTCAGGGGGTGCACATAAACCCCTGCGCACCCATCCCTTATACGTTGCCACTGTTCCCATCCTATTTTTCCCACAAAATACATGTTATCTGTTTTGTTTGGATTTGTAGATATTTGAGATTATGCTTATATGACAATGACTGAGTTTATATAATTAACATGGCAGAAAATAAATATAAACTAAAATAGAAAAGACTTAGTAGCAGCTTTTAACTTTCACTTTTTAACAACTTCCAGAATCTATAGATTAAATTTAAATAATTTTCATTTCCTTTAAAACCAGATTTAAATATTCAGTGGTATAAACTGCTGAACTACTTCTGACAGCTACAACCTAAAAGTACTTCTATTGATCTAAATATAGAAATAATGACCCAAATTTGCTTCTCAGATTACACTGGTGTAAAGCTGGAGTAATTGCACAGAAGTCACTGAAGTTATTCCAAATTTTCACTGGTTTATACTGACAGCATAAACTGGCTCATTAAGACAGTTTAAAGAAAGTGCTTCCTAAGCCAAATGCCAAAGACATCTGAACTCCCTTTCTTTTATGACTGCTGCTTACAAGCAGGATACATGAGCAATAGTCACGATAGAGTACAGTAGTGGTGCTCAACCTTTTTCCCTAGTGGGTCAGATAGACAGTGCCTGGTCCAACTACAGGCCAGATGGTGGTTCTGATCCAGTGCCAGGGGCTGGTGCAGCAGGCACCTTCTGGCTACACAGAGGGGGTGGGGGGCAGCTTGGTCTGAACCCCGCTCCATGGAAGGATGGGGGGGGAAGGCAGCTTTATCTGGACATGTGGGGTGTTGGGGGTAGGATGTGATCTGGCTGGCAGGCTGAACAGGGCATGGCTTGACCCTTGTGGGGAGGGGTGTGGCTCAAGCCTAACCCAGGCCTTTGTGGGGGAACAGGCATGTGATCCAGCCCCAATCCAGCCCTGTGAGGAAAAGGGAGCATGGCCTGGCCCCAACCCAGCCCTGTGGAGGAAAGGGGGCTTGGCTTGGCTCTGACTGGGTGTGTGGGGCTTGGAATTTAGGAATTTGGCAGGGAGGATGGTGTCCATATTAATGGCTACCACTCCCCTGCTGCCAAATTTCCCAACCTGTGGGGAGCCCTGTAGGTCAGGTGCCTTGGCACTTACATTTGGCCTGTGGGCCAGAGGTTGAGCACCCCTGGTGTATAGTAACAGAATTCTTCTAGAAAAAAAAAATTAGTTAAAAAAAAGAAAAAGAGAGAGAAATGAAAAGCTTAGTCCAAAAAAGAATTAGATTACTTAAATGTTCAGCATCATTCTTCTGTTAACTTACAAAAATATCAAAATAGAGCCATTTGTAAAGCGATTTATGGTTTTGTTCAACCATTGGTACAATATCATTCTTAAATAATCAAATATAAAACCCATTATTTCCAGGAAAAATCTTCAAATTAACAACACCTTGAGTTAGGACTCATTGGAAAATACTGCAATATTAGCAGTACATTTTGGTTAACATTTTTAGTTTCAATGGCAAGGAAATACTTGCGTTAAAAAAAGTGCAATATTGAACACTTCGGTCTGTGTATTGTATGTCAAGTTCAGAAAAAAGTTAATTTACCTCTGGCATTTGTTTACATTCCCTTACATTGGATGTTATGTATCCTAGAGCTTTTGATCGTTCTTTATAGAGTCGAATAGTCTGATCCATAGGAACACGTAATCTTATCCAGTATTCCACAATGCCATAGTTTTGGATGCCCCCTCCAATTCCTGAAGAAAAATGTAAGTATAAAAAATAACTTTACAACAAACAAATTAAGGCAGTAAAATTTAACACCCAAAAGTCAAAAAATGCCAGAATTAAAGTTCCTTCTTGGCCACATACTTTATGATATCTTTGCCAAAATAATATCAGTAGTCTATGGCAGAACAGGAACAGAACTCATCTCTCTTGGATTCAGGTCCATTGCCTAGTGCAAAACAACAATCTTTGTCAAATGTCTGCCTCATTCACTGACCACATCTTGTGTACTAAATGAGGCAGAGGTCCAAAATAGCATTATCACACAATTAAAGCCTAAAATAGATCTGCTTGGAACAGAAAGAGTCTGGAAAGGTTCGAGTCTGGCAAAGTTATGAGCAACTGAAACATTGGAAATGTTATGCAATTTTAACAAAAAGCAGCAATACCAGCCTATTTTCTATTAAACCAGGCATTTAACACCTTGGGAAAGGCCAAATGCCAATACACATATTGCCATGGTTAAGAATATGTTTGATAGAAAAAATAAGGAATATAGGACCTGTTTTTTCAAAAAGTTTATCCAAATCATCTTTAAGATTTCTATTAATTATAATGTTCTTTTAAAAAATCTGACTACAAATTGTGTTTCATATGCAAAATGTAAAGCCAATTGAAATAATGTCTTTTATTTGATGATGTGTATTTGAATTAACTGAATTAATACTTTGCTTTTTTGATAAAATAATAGTTGACAAATTGGATATTTTTTCAAAGATTAAAATGAAAATGGTTAAAATAGCTGTACTAAAATGTCATAGAACTTGCTTTAAAAAGGGGGGAAAAAAATCTCATTTTGAACATTTAATGCCCAATATGTGTAGTTATGTAAGAAAATAGGTAGAGTGAAATACAATGAACAAGAACTCTGCTCATATTTGTGATATTAAAATATGACTACTAACATAAATGAAATTAAGAACAAGTAAAAACATCTTTATCTTTTCAATAGCTCATTACTTAATTTGTTATCTCCAATCTGCTGATATGAAGTACAACTACTTCTACCTTTCTCTACTGATAATTAAGGAAGCTGTTAACTTAGTTAAGACCCTCAGGTTAGCTATAAAGCACTAATCACAGGATCAGGAGGCCTAGAAGGGACATCATGAGGCCATCTAGTCCAGCCCTCTGCTCCAGGCAAAATCATCCCCGATTAAACCATCCTAGCCAAGCGTCCGTCTAACCCACGCGTTGGCAACCCCTGGCACGTGTGGGGTGGGGGGCAAGGAGCACTAGCAGGGCATTCTGCCACGTACCCCTTGCCCTCATTTTGTTTTTCTGCCATGCCGGCATTCCGGCACCTTCCGAGGTAGGCACTGTGGTGTTTTTCAGTACTCTGGCCAAAAAATGTTGCCTACCCCTGGTCTAACCTATTCTTCAAAACTTTCTGGGATGGCAATTGCACAGATTCTCTAGCTAGCCTGAGCTATTGCATGACTACCTTCATAGTCAGGAACTTTTTCCTAACCTTCAATTTAAATTGCCTCTGCTGCAGCTTGAGGCTCTTGTTCCTAGACCTGTCCCCTATAGCCACAGTACATTTTCATCCTCTCTATAATTGTCTTTCAGATATTTGAAGACTGTTATAAAATCCCTCCTCAATCTTGTCTTCTCTAGACTAAATAACCATAGTTCTTTCAGCCATTTCTGGTAAGTCATGCTTCCCAGGCCTCTAAACACTTCTGTTGCTCTCTGCTGGATTCTTTCTAACCTGTCCACATCTTTTCTGAAGTGTGGGGCCCAAAGCTGGACACAGTGAGACCTCCCCAGTGCTGAATAGAGTAGAAGAAACATTTCCTTGTTTTTCAAGTGACACTCCATTTAATACTGCTGTTTAGCAATGATATAATGTAGGATTTATTCTGCTTTTAAAAAGCATCTCATAGTAATGCACAAATGACATGTTCTGGGACAACTAGGAAAGCAAAACTAAAAAAGTAAAGCTTACAATCACTCTCTCTCCAATCTCTCAGTTCTAATCTTCAAAGGGTTACACAACACCTTTTGTAGATGAGCCTGCAAACTACACTTCATAAGTCTACTGGATACAAAAAATCATGGAGTAAATATAGACATTGGATTTATGGCACTTTACAACCTGCCTGCCATCTAATAACGCCAGGTAACCTGCCTGCAACTGAACAGCTACATTCCTTCACACATTCTTTCCTCCTCCTTTCCTCCCATCTCTACCCATTGTCTCCCAAACTACCACTCATTTGCATTTTTACAGACCTAAATATTGCCAATTAGCTTCTTTTCTACCTTGCAGAACACATAACATCAGTAGAATCTCCCTATGTCTGAAGAAGGGCATTTGTGCCCGAAAGCTTGCAAAGAACATTTTTTCCAACTATTCAGTTGGCCTTATAAAAGATACCACATCTACCCAAAGAACTTTGCCTGCCAAGGTAAAGCTTAGACACCTTAGAGATAACCCCTTTGCAAAACTCCTATTTACTTCAACAGAGCTAGTCTATATTATATCTTACGTGAAACTGGTTAAAGGAAAGCTTGCCCTGCCCAACTTATTGCAGGTGCACTAAACTGATTATTAAAACATAAGATACACAGCAAAGTGAAATGGGTGACATGATAGCTCAGCTGAATTCAATGGGGGTTTTGTAACTGACATGAGTGGAACCATTATTTCACTCAATAGCAACAGTAATCTTTGAGGATGAAGGAAACTTTTGCTTTAAAGTAACTTTTAAAGGCAGAGATTAATGGACAAAAAAATGTCTCAATACAATGAAACAAATATGTCACATAATTTTTGATATCTAATGGGCGCATCTACACATGCAGTCAATGTGATGTGATAAACTCCCGAGTACTTTGAGCCAGAATGAACTCCTCCTGGGCGCAGTGTGTACACATGAGCCTGGGATAGCAGCACTTTGATCTGGGAAGGAGCCGGCTTGGGCTGGCAGCAGTCTTGGGGAGTCATCCCTGGGCTGTGGGGAGAACCATTGGGTGGCAGAGGCTCCAGCTGGGGCAAAAGGGTGGGAAACATACGAGCTGTGTAGCTAGGAGCCTGTCCCCTGCCTGGTCACCATCTATGCATGTTTCATTTCAGTTTATTACTCTGCCATAAGACAGTACTGTCCCCGATAGTACTATCCTATCATGGAGTTAATTAGTTTACTGCATCCTAATACTGGCACACATGTAGAAGGTGATGCTTTACTGTGGAGCTAATTCGTCAACTCCAGTAAAGCGCACAAGTAGATGAACTCAATACAGGCATACCTTGGAGATACTGCGGGTTCGGTTCCAGACCACCACAATAAAGCGAATATCGCAATAAAGCGAGTCACATGAATTTTTTGGTTTCCCAGTGCATATAAAAGTTATGTTTACACTATACTGTAGTCTATTAAGTGTGCAATAGCATTATGTCTAAAAAAAAAATGTACATACCT